ACTTTCTTTCCGCCTCCACCAAATACTATTGCAAACCTACTCAAACAGTATTTCGGTGTAGATAGGATACACATTAACTATATGCAATATTGCCCACCCCCAGGCCCCGCAAAAAAATACCCCAATCTACTCAGACAGTATCTCCACATAGACAGTATACATGTATACATCAACAGCATTCAATATTGCCGCCCCCAACAAAAACTAATTCAAGCAGGAATGAAAATTTTTGAATTTTGCGGTGCAAGATGTGTATTGCTTGCGATGGAGATTACTTTGAAGGAAATAAAATAAATATTGATGAATAATTGAACGGCTTCAGTTTTATACACAAATTCCGGGTACTTTTTGATCAGAAGGTATATTCTTTCATAGTTATATATTTTTTGTTTCTTATAGCCATTGTAATTTCATTTCTCTTTAATTAATATATACAATTTAATAGGAATTAATATATATATATATATATATATTATATATATATATATATATATATTATATATATATGTGTATAAAACTGAAGCCGTTCAATTATTCATCAATATTTATTTTATTTCCTTCAAAGTAATCTCCATCGCAAGCAATACACATCTTGCACCGCTTCTTTCAATCATCAAAACACTTTTCATAGGCTGATTTTGGAATTGCCTTTAGTTCCTTCTATGAACTCTCCTTGATCAATTCAATCGTCTGAAAATGCTTCCCGCGAAGTGGTAACTTGATTGGTGGTAGTAGGAAAAAGTCACACGGAGTCATGTTAGGTGAATATGGAGATTACTGAACGGTATTAACGTTGTTTTTAATCAAATAGTCGCGTACACTCTCAGCACAAATCGCGCTTCAACTCGTCTCATGCTCAAAAACATCGTGCATAACGCTCTGCACCGATCCGAACGAGATATCAATATCGGCTGCTATCTCCCTGGTGCTTACACGACGATCTTCGAGCATAATTTTCTTAAATTTTCTATATTTTCGCCAGTCAGAGAAGCAGATGAACGACCGAAACGAGGCAAATCATCAACCACAATACGACCCTCTTTTAACTTTTTGTACCACTCGTATGTTTGTGTTTTCGACACTGTCGAGACTCCGTAGGCTACCGTTATCATTTTCAATGCTCCCGCACAAGATATTTTGTTAGAAACACAAAATTTCAGACAGACTCTTTGCTCAACTGAATTTGACATAGTGAAATTCGCAGAGTATACTAAACAATGACTTGTTTACAAGGCTATTACGCGCAAACTATCTGACAGATGGCGCTTAAAAATAATATGCAACCAACTGACAGACGTACTTACATACTTAGAAAAAAATGATTATCACAATATCTCAAGCGCGGTTCTTTTAAATGAGAAATTCCGGATACTTTTTGATCATAAGATAAGAGCAAATTAAAGAAATAAGTTTTATATGTATTGCACGTGGCATACACAAGAAAAACGAAATAGGAACAGGAAGTATTACATATTCTTTCAGTAGGTGGCAGTCTAGCATGCCTCTAATCTGTAATATAATGAGGCGCGTAATTCAATAATACTGATTCCACAAATTTATTTTAACAATTATTGAATAGATTAAACATCGCGAATAAATCGTTACAGTTTTCAGTTTATCCGTTATTTATATTCCTCTAATATTTTGATCACCTTTGAGATGTTTTTATTCCAGTTGTTCAAAAATAATAATTTCTCAATCTCTTTATAAGTAATTTTCGTGTAGTTAGTATTTATCTAATCAATTTAAAATGGTAAAAGCGTGAGTAGTAAAATGTCAGTAAGAAAAAGAGAAAATTGGAAAGTAGAATAATTCAGAGTTAATTCTTTTTGCCCGACAACATTTTCATTGAGGTGAATAAATAATTCAAGGCAATGTTGCGAATGTATAATAGAGTTTCTCCAACGACCATAAATCGATTTTGTGCACAATTTGATTTATTAAAATATTATACTTTAATATTTTACCTACCTTTAAATCATAAAAACCTGAAGTTCTTATTAAGTTATGTATTTTTTCTCTCAAAGGAATGATACATCTCTATTTGTACTTATTTTACTATAGAAATCTTTTTTTTTGTGCGTATATTCAAAACAATTAACGCTTTCGAAACAACTCTTTATCATAATTGTCAAATGTGAACTAACGCTGGAAACGTTATCAAATTTCAGATACAAAAAACTTAAAGGCTCATACTTTGTACAACAGTATATAGAAAGTTTAGAAATTCATGGACCAAGATTGAAATCGATGATTTGAGGTTCAATGAAATTAAACCTAAACAAAGATTTAAGATTGTCACCTCTTGAACCCAAAGGATTAAAATACGCAATCATTCTATTAGATAAACTGTATCCGTGTCTTGTAAACGCCATACAGGTTCAGGAACAATCACTAAGAGAATAAGAAACGTGGCAAAGAAGAGTCGTTCGTCGATTAGGTGGCCGAAAACAGTCGTGCGATCACTCAAGCACGCCAGAAAGCGTGGAGATTTTCATTTGAACCGAGCGATCTGAAGTCCGAGCCACCCACGGCGCGCCGTCAGGACGATCGTGGATTTCTCTTGATCATTTCGATCGCGCCGGCTTGCCTTTATGTGCATATTATGTATTTATTATAGCTGCCTACCAGGAATCGAGCGACAAAACCAAAGGAGTTTGGCCTTTTGCTGGTCCGCGGAGCCCCGTTCCACATACCGTCTTCCCCTGGCTCATTAATTGACACCGTGGTGCGCGTCCCACCGATCTTGGTGGTCTCTCCGACTCCCTTTAACGATACGTCAATCGTCGAACGCGGTCGGAGCTGAACATTCAGGATACTTCACGAAATCAGCGCTGGAAAAAGTATACATTCAAGGATCGCAATACATGTAGACTGGTCAAATTGAGACAATTTGTATGATTTTTTTTTCAAGAGAACCAATTGGCATATTATTTTTAAACTTTGTGTTAAAAATATATATATTCGCATTCTATGTATAATGAGGAAGGGGAGATGTGTGTTATCGATGTGCTGGATCAGTTAAGGAACAGATCGTTGTACATAAACAGTAAGAGACAATAGAACACCAATATACTTTAAGAGTCTCATCACTTGCTTAGCAAATCTTAAAAACAAAGAACCGATAATTCAACATATTTTCCAGTTAATCTCAACTATTTAAAATAACAATAAAGAAATTGTGTTTGTATGGATTCCCTTACATGTGGGAATTAGAAAAAATGAGAAAGTCGATTTAGCAGCCAAGGATGCTGTAAAATCATTATCCCAAAAGCTTCCTATCTCTTACAGTGACCTAATCAGGTAACTGAAAATATAAATTACAAATTGTTAGAATGGATATTGGATCAGCTCACCACTACTTAAATTATTTAAAATAAGAAAAAATCTTTTTAATAACAAATGCCCTGACGTTACCGGCAGGAAGGATCAGGTTGTTATTACGCGACTTATAATCGGCCATACAAATATGACCCATGTCTAGAAAATTACTAAAAATCCACCTACGATCTGTAATTCCTGCAATGTTAAATTATCTATTGCACATGTATTACTTGACTCTCCAATGTTCCAATCTAAACGACTAGATTTCAAACTTCCGACAGATCTCGGTGACTGCCTTAACAGTCTTAGAAATATCACTGCGACTCTTTCATTTTTAAAAAGTGTAGACTTATATAACAAAGTTTAACTATTGTATATGTGCGATTAATTTGTAACTATGTGTTATACCGTGGTCGCTAATGACCTTGCTGTTCATGCGACCATTATAAATAAATAACTTTAAAAAAAAAGAACACCGATATAAATACAAATAAAGGTAACGTACTTTCAACGATTACACATAATACGCACCATGATTTGACTTGGCGGTCGCTGATCACATACGGTCTATGGTAGCACATGTTTTCTCTGACATAAGCCCGCTCAGTCTGTTTTAATTTTTCATCATCTTGTAACCAATTTTCATTAAATAAATGATCGAATAGTTCTTTATTCCAGTGCCTGGGTTCCATTATACTCCTTTTACCAGTAAAGAATGTTCCATAATTACAAAACTTCGGATATTATTTACTGTTAGTAAAGACCACGCAGTACAGTATTTTTTTTTTTTTTTAGAAAACATTTCATAATGCGGAAATATGACACCGTATTTCGGAAAGGTTATGACGGGAGTTAACAAACGACGTAATTTCGAGGCCTTGATGTTGGATTGATTTGAGACAAACACGTAGCAAATATTTCGGTTTTTAATTTATGTGTTAATTTTTGTTTGTTTATCTATTTATTACAAAAAATATTTTATGCAGATTGTATAACAGAAAATTAGGATAATAGAACGTTTGGATATGGGGATTCTATAGTGATGATACATGTTAAAAATTATTCCAAAAGATATAACTGCTTTGTTCGGAAGTTCTGGGGTAAGTGCCGTGTGGTTCAACACGGTCCTCTTTCCAGAAGGCCATGCCTTCCCCACTCCGTGGCCAGATCTTTCTAGAACAATATATCATTTGTTTAATTCAATATGGCTAATTATTAATTATGGCAATGCAACGTCGAGTTGCTTGCCCGGTTTACGCGTTACCGATGGTAACTTATCGGTCATGCGACATTCGTTTTGAAGCCGCCTTCGGATCGTCGCAAGCTCGCGTTCGGTCCGTCCTGACGTCTTGGCCCCTCGCGAACCGATCGCTTGCAAACAGTGGCAGATCAGCTGTTCCGAAAATCAATATATCGATCGGACGCTACATACATATTATAAATTACGCCAAATACATGAAAAAGTGAAGGACTGAAGGAGTTATTATTGAGAAAATAGAAGATCCCTAGATTTCCGCGGCCTGAAAGACAAATGCTTGGCGTGGCCAGGCAAGCCATTCTTAGATCATCGATACCCATACTTTCTCTCTCACAGACTTTCGAATAATTTGTCAATTTAAAATTCTGACAATATTATGAGTACACTTTCATTGTTTTGCGTTTTAAAATAATTCTTATTCATCGACACCTTGACCTTGCCTGACCACGCCAAGCATTTGACTTCCAGGCCGCGGAAATCTAGGCAAATTATCTGGCAGCTTATTTCGATTTCACATGTTTTTCTATTTTCTTTTAGTTTTTTATGGGGACCTTCTATTTTTCAATAATAACTCCTTGAGTCCTCCACTTTTTCATGTATTTGGCGTAATTTTTTTACTTTTTTGAAGTTTTTTATCAGATCTCACTTCTTTTTACAAATAATTTATTATATAGAATCTATTTTAAATTTATAAAAATAAAATTGATATTTCTCTAAACTCTACATAAGAAATCTAAATTATTATTTGTTTCTTTAATTAAATAGAGTCAAATAAAGGGAGAGGGGATAACAAAAACGAATATATATATTTCATATAATTTATTAATTATAAGCATTTATTCGTTCAATTTATAAATAATTATAAATACCTGCAATTTTTTTTTTGCTGCAAGAAATTTTAATGTTAATGATGAAATGAGAAAATGACTCCATTTCTATAAGCTCTACATAAAAAGTCTAAATTAAAAACACTAGTGGTATGGATCTATTCTGTAAGGTACCTGACAATTCAGATTTTGACAACTTACCTTGTAATGAAAGTGGATAAACATTTTACAACAGTTGCTGCAATTTGTTAATGAATAACCTCCAAGCCTGTGGTTACTTTCATTTGTATAAGCTCTGCATAAAAAGTCTAAATTCAAAACACTTTAGTGGTATGGTTCTATATTAAAAACAGTTTTCTGTATGAATAAAGGTATCTGGCAATTCAGATTTTAACAACTTACCTTATAATCAAGATCGATCAACACTTTGCAACACTGGCTGCAATTTGTTATTAAACCCTACTTAAAAAGTCTAAATTGAAAACATTTTGCTGATATAAATATAATTAATAATGCAATAGTGTAAAAACTTTTGACACTTGGCAGGTTATGAATGATGACATCTGTTTCGACTCTCTACGCTCGATGGCCAACGAGCCATGCCGAACCGAATGATTCCGAGAGTCGACGAACGACACTCGGCTTTTGCTTAGTTCCTATTGGCTAAGGGTTGACGACGGGAAAATCATACGAAAAATACTGTTTCTGACAGATTCATGACATAATATTACGATATCTCAGTTGTACGTGGACCGATTTTATTGATTTTGGTTTTATTCGAAAGCTTATATGCGGTTTACATCAGAAACATGGCCTTAAATTTAGAAAATATTGCAGGCGTGTTGAGATATTCATGAAAGAAGTTTCAGGTTAGGTTGGAATGGACCATCTCTCCTGTAAAAGATACGTGGTAGTTCCAACGCCATATATACGCGGTGACGGATAATTTTTCATGTACTTGCCGCCGAGACGCTACCGCGTCTCTAGATAATAAACTATATATACTGTAACTAATTTTTTGTCGACAGTAGGAACGTTAAAACTTTTAAATCTTTTAAGAAAAGTTAAGGTAGGAACATCAAGTACATAGTATACAGTATACATACTTTTCTGCAAAAACTTTAACAGGTGGCATATTTTGAACTGTATTGCCAATCATGTCAAGATCTCGTCGAAATCGAGATCATATATTCGATATTCTCGAAAATTCGAGATCGATATGGCATGTTTCGAGATTCTTTAAAATCAAGATCGAGATCCTTGAAATCTCGTCTCGTCTCGTCTCATGGGCATCACTAGGATTTTAATATGTATTCTCTTCTTAATAATGTATTAGAAAGGTAAACATAAAATGTTCCTCTTGATAGAATTGAATTGCTGGAAAATGTACAGATATCATCGAATAAGATTTAATGTTCTCCAATAGCGTTTCTGGACGTAACACGAGTTTGTTGCGTATCACGTATGACGCCCACGGCTCGACTCGTGGGTTTTCGAGCTGAGACCCGTTTATGGGGCAATCTGTAAGCCGCAGACGATCTGTGACACGGTGTGGAACTGGGCCGACGTTCATAACGCATTTACATTCCTTTCAATGTCGCGCCACGTTCACTGGAGGCCACTGGCTAGATTGGTATTCCGGGTCTGGTTTCTTCGATTTATCCGATGCCTCTATAACTGCCATAAGCTCCACGCTCGGAATAGAAGAGTGGATGGTGTTGCTTGGGAAAAATTTGATTAACCACTTCACCTGGTGCTCTGGAAAGGAGGATTTTTAAAAATGGCCTCGTCTGCGAAGAAAAAGTTTATACAGAATCATTAATGTATTGCGTACGGTTCGCAAAATGTAGTGACACACAAAATTTATCGAATACTTTTGTTTGTTATATTTTTTATGAAATCAAAGTGCAATTGTTAATTATAAACTTTTGGGATCATATTTAATATATAATTTGGTTTATTACAATAAGTAAAACAATACGAAACATGTCGAAAAGTATATTTGTTTAAACAATAATTAAACGATAATTGATTAAACTATTAAATGATTAAATATAATAACGATACAGAATTGGTTTCGTTTAGTTCGTCAGTTCCTTTTTTTTTATAAGGTTTAGTTTTATATGATCGCAGTGGACAATCTAGGACGTTAAATCTTTTTCTTTGAAGCCACAATTTACATTACGTAATACATTAATACATAAATACACGACGTCTGTTTAGGGTCGTTATATCGTACTAAAAAATGACATCCGTTAGATATTCTATTTACAGGCGAATAGTCGCTGTGCAACGAACGGACTGATAGAATAAGTGACACGTCGCGTTGCATCGTGTTGACGTGAAAACAAAGGCGCATCGGCATCTTCGATCTATCGCCCAGATGGCCGAAAGCGCGCCGATTATGGTTTTCTAACATATTCTTTATACCAATTTCTCCGTATTTCCTAAGTAGTGTTTCAAATATTAATATAATATTTTGCTATCATCCTTTTACCTATTCTATACGTTAGATCTAAAGGAGCCATACCATTATCTTTGCTCTGCTAAAGTTTAATCTTGGTCAATAAAGTCTTGGACATAATTGCTTGTTTTGTCTTTTCCATATCCATTTTTTTCATCTGATTCGTACCTATTTGTTTAGCTCTCATTTGGCCAGATTAGATGGCCTCAATATTCTACATATAACGAAGTTCACCTACTGTTTTGCAGATTTGAATTGATTACACAGTGATGCTGAAAATGCATTGGGTATTATATTGCAAAAGAACAAACAGCAAAAAGAAATAGATACTGTACAATTGTTTATGGCAATTTTATAATCGATATGTAACATAGTCGAAAGCTTGATTTGTCAGTTTGATTATCCGAAAAATCGATTTTGTAAATGAATTTATCCCACAATTTATACAATTGTCGTTCAACTGTTTTACCATGTACTATGACCCTATGAAATACTGCATCATCATTATTACTATTATTACATTCGTGGGTCTGTTTCAATTATGTATTGAACCTTATAAAGAATGTTATGTTTGTACAACATTTTGTAATATGAAAATCAGTGTTTTAATTTGCGAGCAAACAATTCTTGGATTACTGAATTAGTAAACAAAGTTGTTTATTAATGGCTCAACCGATTTGTTTAAACCGATGATTTTCCGAAAGAAGATGGTTTTTGTCGGAAAATATGCAATGGAATATTTGTTAAATATTATAAATTATTATATTAACAGTACCATAAAGTAAAAAAAAATGGCGTGAAATATCGAGTACACATTCAAAGTGACACCATTTTGTCAATATTCAATATTTTGCAAAAAAACTCTACGTCATTTTCCACAGAATATTGTTTTATTGAAGAATTTAAAATCTAATTTGTTTCAAATACGTAACTTGGAAGAAATCGTGCACGCAGCGTAATCCTCTTGCGAAAACTGTCTCATTGTTGGGACCAATGTTTCAACATTTATTGTAAAACAATTAACAATGAACAAAATATGAATGACCAGTTTTAGCATTACTTAATGTAATGGGAAAGTCTTGTTACAATATCCTTTACCATTTCAACAATAAACTTCTTTGAACATTTTTTCATATTTGACGTAGTTATGCCCACAATGACTACTAACATTCGGAAACATTTTGTGTTCTATTATGGAAAATTACGTGATTGGACATGGCGTTTATTAAAAGAAAAATTAAAAATACTAGAATGAGACGTAGCCAGTAGAATCGGCCAGTTTTGAGCTCTTCTAGTTCACCAGACCTAACACCATTGTATTCTTTTATGAGAATACGTAAAGAATCAACTGATGGCAATTCCTCATACGACGAAAGAAAATATGAAAACAAGAATTCGAACTGGTCGTGCATCAATTTAGTCAAACTATATTGTCAGATGTTCGTGAAAATTTAGTAGTAGGCGGATACTATTTTGAACATTAAATAAAATCATAACAAGTTTGTTGTACTCCATCCAAGTTTTTTTCGCAAATATCTTTGGCCATATTTTACAAACTATGCAGAATATGAAAAAATTGTGTCATATAAACATAATTTATTATTAAAAGCAGTATATAAAATAGCCGAAACATTTGTACCATTTCATTTAAAAATACGAGCCGGTGTCCCTTCCTTCCTTCATGAGGACTTATCCAGCAGTACAGTAAATATCACATGAAAGGGCTTATCGTCCCATGTAACAATAAAAGAAACATTGTCGATATCAGTGGGCAAATCAGACGAATGGGTCGCACGAAAATGACTGATACAAACTTCACCGACACAAGTTATGATCGACATTAATATCGACCGGAATATACATTTTCTGCGTTTAATTATGAAGAGCGTTTAATTTATCTACTGTAGTGTATGGAATTGTGCACGTAAAGAATGCGATTAATATTGGTGTCGATCAAAACTAGTGTCAGTGAATTCTGGTTGGCGAAATCTGCGTCAGTGAAGTCTGTGCTGATCATTTCCATGGGAGCTATCACCAATAGTTTCCCACGCAACAGTTCGTAACAATTTAGACGGTTCACCCTGCATGTAGCGTGGTTTTTGAAATTATAACTCTTTTCTATGAAAATTTAAATTCCACAAAGAGGACCATCGATGGATGATGAAATTTGTCTGCATGGTGCATCAGTTAAGTGTCACCATTCGATTCAATGTAAAAAATATATCAAATCCGATGTTAAGCTAATTTTAAAGTGACCAGTCGATTTTTGTGGAAAAATGTCGATTTTCACATAAAAATGCACGGTTTTCTGCATTCAAACGTCATTTTCTCCCTAAAATACCACTGTACAATTTTTGTTGACTATAGCATCGAAAAGCTGAGACTTCGAGGAAGGTTTTCCGAAGACGTGCCCGCCAAAAAACTATGTATTTGATGCCGAAAAACAGATAGAGGAATAGTCAAATTTTTGGAAATTGTCAAAATTTCCAGTTTGGTCTGATTTTTCATTCGTTAAATCTACATAATAAATTTTGGTTTGGCATCAGGGAGATTGGGAATGTAACGCTTTTTCTAATGGTATATTTAGTTTTAATTTTGCACTGTAACTTGATGGAGTTATGGGCATTTAAAGAGAAAACACGGAAAAAAAGTTAAAAGTCAAAATACTCCTAAAATAAGTGATTTTTCGAAAAATGTCTCGGAGGATCTTTTTGTTGGAAATTAGTTGTAGAATCGA